TATTTTATTTTAACAATTTTATTCTATGAATTATTTTATAATTAATGATTATATATATAAAAATCGTAAGAAAAATGTAATCATATTCGTTAGAAATATTATTATACAATTTGAAGAGAATTTTAGGTAAATTTGATGAATATTAAATTATAATGAATTGTTTTTTTTTTATAAGTGAAACATTATAAGATTCTATATTAATTAATAATCATAGAGAAATGGCAATAGAATTAAAATAGAAATCATTTTATCCGATATGAGATTAGAGATTTAAAATAATATAAGAATATAATAAAGGGAAATGTTGAGCGCGTAGGAAAGGAGCAAAACAATGACTGGGTTTTGTTGAAGAAGTAGGCGACTAGGCGCCAGAGAGTGGAATCTTCTTCGAAAGAAATGCGGATCGGTTCTTTCGAAACGGCCCTGAAATGCCGAAGCATGCGTATTACGTACGTACCAAGAACGAACATCAGCACATATTGCCACCACGTGGAGTTTCGGGATGTTTACCATTGCAAGAGCAAAATTCGGGCTTCGTTGAAATCAATATTATTGTTCACTGGTCGTTCTAAATTTGGATTCGTGGTTAGCGACGAATCACGATCCATCCCTCACGATTGTGAGATACTCTTCAACTGAAACCAATTCTAAACATGTCTCAACAGATGTTACTACTTTTCTAATTATAATAATTTTCATTAATATCCTTATAAAATTTTCGTATCAAATCAAATGCTAAGTCAAACCATTACTTCGTTACTTGCTAAAAGTCAAATTATTATTTTTAAATATTATTAGTTTAATCATTTTTTTTTTCATTCATAGTTTTGTTATTGAATTAATAGAAATAACCCGTAAAAATATTCCGAATATAAATTTAACGATAACGCACCATGCATTTATATAAATCTACTTACAAATTTAATTAAATGTAACATTAAATTCGGATAAATTATTAACCCCATTCGTGGATATTTAATTACTATAAGTACCTAATAAATACATCTAATATCAATAATCCGATCGAATTAAAAAGTCTCAAACCATGCATTCAAATCTAATCAGAACACGAAATTATACATCAAATTATTCCGAATTTCTAATCTCAATTCTAGTTATTGCTCTACTATAAAAAAACTATTCTCTTAGAATGACGAGGAAAAAAAAAAGTAAAAAAAAATTCGAAGCAACTTCCCTCGTTAGTGAAACACACGTTATTAAAAAAAACCTTTCAGCAATTATTTACAGTAATTTGTAACGAGTACCTAAGTGTCTCCTTTTTAACTTATGTTAACCTAACATATTCTCCCTCTCTCTCTCTATTTCTCTCTATCTATCTATCTCCCTTTCTTTTTCTTTCTTTTTTTTCTTTCTTTCTCTCTACAATTCTTTCGTAGTGAACCCCCGTCGCCGAAAGTGCGAGTGAGACGTTCCCTTTGATCTCTATGCAAAAGCCGCCACACGGCATTGACCGTGGTTTATATGCGCTCATCTATGGGGCACTGTCTTTGCTAGCTCACTCATTCATTAAATTCGTTGTATAATTAGGCGCACGAGAGGAAAGACAGAAAACAAGTCATTTCTACTCTACTTCTGTCTCTCTCTCTCTCTCTCTTCTTAAGAACATTAAAATGACTCTGTACCGAAAATTGACTCGTGTTTCATCCTATTTGTCTCTTTTCTCCTCGCGAGAATTTGCTAACAAAATGAGAAAGAGAAAGAGAAATGAAAAGAGAAAGACAGAGAAAGAAAGAGAGAGATAGAGAGAGAGAGAGAGAGAAATATATCTTTCAGACGATGACAAAGTATCGCGAAATTAAAATTACTTCAAATTTGTGGGATATACATTTTCATTAAAAAATCAAATCTTAATCTTCATAAATATAATTCGTTGATTATATTTTTATATTAAAAACAATACATATAATTAATTCATAAGAAAGTCAAATCTTAATCTTCATAAATATTTAATTATTTGATTATATTTGTTTAAAAAAAAAAAATCTGTTTAATTAAATAATATATTAATAATAAATATTATAATAAAATCTCTATAATCACACGAATAATAAATATAATCAAAATCGTGATAATCAATAACTGTAAATAAATGATAATAATAAAACGTAGATCGTTGATTATTTGCCAATAAGATAATCAGGCACATCCATATGTATCCATAGGTATATATGTGTATTCTATAAACGTATACATGTGTATACACTCGTGTTACTCATGTCAGAGAGTCGTCACTGGGACGTGTTAATGTCGAGTCAAACACAAACCCAGACACAGAGTCTATTGTGTTGAAGATAGGGAAGAATGCTACCTAACTGGCTCGTGCAACCTGTCCATGTCGACGCATCACATCAATCTTGAAACTAATTTCATTTATAACAAAGATATATATAAAAAAAAAAAAAAAGAAAATAGGCAAAAGAAAAACAGATACAAATATCGTATTAATTTATATTAAAATAACATAGAGACCACAGAGAAAGATTATCCAATATGTTCTTACAGTTTAGACCAAAACATACATTTACGTAATACACATACTGGGTAGGTAAAATATTTTTTAAGTTTCTAATCTTAGTATCGGAAAACAAAATTAATTTCGTGTGTTTCAAAAAAGAGTAATTAATTTTTGAAATTATTTAAAAACTTTTAATCCACTATGTGTGTGTACGAAATTAATAAAAATATTTAAAATTTATTAAACTTGTACGCGCGTGTAGAATTACATATTTGATTATGTATTTATATACAAGTGTTCTTTTTTTGTTATTGTTAATATAGTCACTTTTTTAAAATAGTGTTTCGATCAGAGACGAATAATAATCAATACGAATTTATCGTAAATTTGCTTAAAAATATATCTAGAAATATTTTAATTTCATCAATTAACTTAGTTTAATATGGCGTCTCAATTTCAAGATGGATGCCAACAAGTCCAAACATTTAACATCTATATCCTAATAATAAAGATCAACCCTAATTTCAACGAGAACAATTATTTCACAATATATAATAATTATTAATAATAATTATATAATATAAACACATAGGAAAATTAAACATTTAATAAAATTATTATATAAATATTAGATTTTTTTCATGAATTCACTCATTGTAATATGGCGATCTCATTAAAAATATGGTTACCAATCAATCCAAACATTTAACCCCAACATAATAATCAAACTTTACGAATAAACATTACAAAAATCAATTTCATTAAAAATATTTCAATACTTATCATTGAAAAATGTTCTTAATCAATAATTTTAAAATCTAAAAGAAAAATATCAAAAAAATCATTCTTCTAATATTACAAATATTGAATATTATTAAAAAGAAAATCAAATAGAAAAAGAAAAAAACGAATAACCACAAACAACAGGAGTGTGTAAACATTTATAAATCTTCTCTATAAGATAATAATAAAAATCACAAAATATACTTTCACCAGAATAATAATGATCGCGGTGAAAATGTAATAATATCTTTTCGAGGGTTGTTCAGAAATAAGATGGAAAGAGACGGGAAGAGATGTGAACTCTCGTCGTTGTCGTCACGAGAAACTTTAGAAAGAGATGGAAGTAAGAGGAAGGATAAGAATAAAAGGAAGAGGATCGGAGGTATCTCCCTCTCCCCCATCCACCCACCTACCACACCCCCCTTCTTCCTTCTCCTAGCAGAGGTAGGTGGTCCACGGAACCGCCTCCACGATCTTTCCATCCAACGTTTCGTGCGTGTGCCAGACGTGTGCGGCTCGTTTCAGCCTCTTTTGTGGACCAACCTGTGCGACTGGCCTCTCGCATGCATCCTTCTCTTTCTCTCTTTCTCTCTTTCTCTTTCTCTCTTTCTCTTTCTCTCACCGATTTCTCTACCTCCCTATCCGGTGTCTTTCTAGTTACAAAGTTTCGTCAGTCTCACTCAGTCGGCCATCGGACTTTAACTTCATTCGTGTCTTCTCTCTCCCGTGATAAACCGTTCGTTCGTCATCTTCATCAACTTCTTCATTATCTTTTTAATCTTCAACATCGATTGTTAGATAATAATCAGAAAAATGTTTCTTTTAAAATTATCTTAATGTCTTTTTTTTTTGGATATATATATATATATATATAATAATATTATGCGTAGCAATTAATTCGGGGTGATTTTTGTTAACGAATTTATTATTTATATTTATATAATCGTAACGTTTTTGTTATATTATACGAATTAGTTTCTATTATTTTTCAATTACTTTTAGATCAATATCATTTTTCAGGCAATTGTCGTATTCTTTGACGAATAAAAGGATGATTATTTGAATGCAATAAATTTAATATCTATCAGGGTACCGAATTAATTGCTTAAGACTTATGTTAAATATAATTGTGGATTTATTAATATGAGGATTATTTTTTATGGGAACGGGAGAGTAGAGATTAGAATGATTAGGATGTTTGAATCGAGATGAGTGATCAATTTGAAGAAGAAATATCATCGATCAATTATCGTCGTCGAAAGTTTGAAATACTTGGAAAAATCGAGTTTACTGTTCATCGGAAGTTGATAGACCGTTCAACAGGGTCAAGGAATATTTTATTTTTCAAGTGAAAAAGAAAGAGAAGGATATAAAATAGTATATCATTATCGCGATAAATTGTGAGCTCGAGATAACCCCTTTGAAGTAATTAACAGCTTCATATTGTCAGAAGAGGATTCTTTATGAGTCTATCGAAAGAGTAAGGAAGAAAGAAGATAAGGACATTTTTCTTCAATTTTAAAAATTAACTCTCTCTCCTTTATGGGGTTTCCTTATCTCTGAAGAAAATTATCCTGATTTTTGTTTTTTATTTTATTCTTCTTTTGCTTCTTCTTCCTCTTCTTCTTCTTCTTCTTCTTCAGAATTCATTTAAAACGTTTCAAGTGGAAAAACAATCAGAAATATTTTAAAGGAGAGTGTTTTTTTGGTGTACCATAATAAAAAAAGAAAAAAAAAAAGGATGGAAGCTCATCACGTTAATAATTTATCGACGTTGGAAGGAAAGGCTGGAACTTCCGGTATCGAAAATTGCAACAATTCTTTGGACGATGCTGTGGGAAAATTATTACAAGGTTTGTGAATTTTATATTGTATTATAATGAGAAATTTTCTATATCTTTTATTTGAAATGATAACCAATCATTTGTTGATAAATTAGATTTCTTTCTAGATTTCAATATATTCATTTTTGATATTGTTTAATCTGTCATTTTTTTTTTTCAATCAAGACAATAATTTGTTGGTGTTGGATAATTATTACAAAACAAATTATGATTTCTTTTTACATATCAACATATATATTAATTTAACAAAATTTGTTTCTTTTTTTTTTAAATTACACGATAATTTGAATCTCTTCTAATGTAATAAAAATAATAATAATAATAATAATAATAATTTAAATTGGACATCTGTTATTAAATGGAATTAGTATAAATATTGTATTAAACAATGTTATCGTGCCGATATTTTTCATTTGAATTTAATTGGTGCCGAAAGCTCGACCCCGTCGTCGGCCATCGCTCTTCTCTCTTGGCTTCTCTGCTTAAAATTTCTCCATCCTGGTTGTAATGCGTTATAGTGGTAGTAAATAGTAGAAGTAGGGAGTGTAGATTTTGAACGACAGGTGCTGCGAACGAAGCGAAACCGTCGCCACTAATTATGCGAGTACCAAATTTAATCTGACACATCGAGGAGGGAGGGCTAAGAGGTTGGATGAGTATGAGAGGACAACATGATTTATTGTCGGCCATCTTTCTTTCTTTCTTTCTCTATCTCTCTCTCTCTCTCTCTTTCTCTCATTCTCATACGTTTTGTGTAATAATATCTTACAGTAATAAATTATTACGATGCATATAATCATTTTTACCAACGAAAAGAAAAAAAAATCCAAATTTTTCCATGACTTTTATTTCTATTTTTTAATCCTTTTTCTTTTTATTTTTATTTTAATTCAAATCATTCAAATTCATCCATTGAATTTCATATAAATGATCCCACGCACAGGAGGATGTATCACCAATCGATAAACTCGATAGTTTATACGAGTTGTCCGGTTGGAGAACAAGAATCGATTACGTTTCGACAATTTAAATATTTAGTTAGGCCAATCTTGATAAAAGAATATTATTCGAAGTATATTGGTTCGATTGTGTTACATGTTACATGTAAATGCTGACGGTTGGATTTTGCAAAATGGAAATTTTCGAATAACCTAACGAATAACCATAACTCGCGGTCGATATTCGGATACTTTAATATTCATTTTAATATTTAATCAGATGAATCTTAATAAAAATCCCTACTGCTATTAATTATTAATATAATTAAATAAAATCTTGTGCTTCTATCATAAAAATGTAAATGAAAAAAAATAAAACATAATCGAACAATCAACTTTTAATTACTATGACACACACATTACGAAGTAAATTTTAATATTTAATATTAATCTATATATAACTTTGAAAAACAAAATCATATAACTTTGATTATTAAACTAATCAAATATACTGTTAATTATATCACAAAAAGAAAAATATTAAAATTAAATAACACAATCTTAAACGATCGATTTTTCGAATCGAGATCGATTTGCTATGAAATTTCAAAACAAATTTTAATACTTTGATTATAAATTTTAAAAATAGACTTATTCCTTGCAATATATAAATATAAACAAATAAATTCAAACGTAAATCGATTAATTATGATAATTAGATTAACTATCGACAACAGTGAGATTTAGTTGAAGCAAAATTTCAAGTCAGGGTTTGCACGAATGCCAATGTCAAGAAACATTCTCGTCTAGACGAGGTGTCGAAGCATTTAAGGAGGTCTCGTTAACGATGGGAATCAGTAAGAAGGGGATTTGTAAAGGAGTTAATGTAGCAAGAACCGACGACAGCTCGCCATTGATGATCGGGATACTCAACACACACCGGTCCATTCAGGAACATACAACCCCCTATTATAGAACGACTAGAAGCTAACAGAGAAAAGCAAGCTGATCGCTTTCTACCAACACACTTTTACTCTTCTATTATAAAACATTGCAAGTTATCTATCTTATCTTCGTCCTATGATCAATCATTTAACACAACAACAGTAATTAATTATTCAATTCTATTTAATAACACAAGCAAATTTTTATTTTTATCAAATTAAACAAGCAAACAAACAAAAATTCAAGATATGTCAAAAAAGTTGAGATGGATGATTATAAACATTAATTATTTAGTATCTTTTTTTTTTTATTTAGATTATAAAACAATAAACTTAATTCTTTAAATTACAAGACTAATTACGAGACTACAAAGTATAGGAGAAAGGAGTAATAAATTGTTTATAATCATCTAAGCATATTTTGGCCTATTTATAATACTTTAAACTCACCTGAAGATTTCTTAACCGATCAAGAAAAAAAAAAATCAAAAGTAATAATGCTAAATATATTTTCATATTGAAAAATCAAAAGAAGATATGAACGAGAAGAAGAAAGATAGGATAGAAAAGGCAAATGATGCACCATTGAAAACTTCGCCCGAAAGTTTTTCTATTCCTGTCGCTTTCGGGGTGCGAACCCCTTCCGCATTTCCTTGTAAAATATTCTCGGTGATATCGTGACGGGTTTTAGGGGAACGGTATCCCGTTTGTAAGGAAGGACCTCCAGCAGGCGTTGAAAGGAGCCGACAGAAGAACCGCCATCGGTGGACCGTAACCTTACCGTAATTAGCTCCCACTGCTTCTCCAAAATGTCTACGCCCCTGGTGACGATCTACCACGTGTATATTTCCTTTTTTTTATATTCTTTCCCAAACATTTTTCATATTTTATTATACATTTCTTTTTATATATTTCTAACGATTGTGTGCTTTACGCGCGAACCTATGATAATAGAAACAAGACTATATTCACAGATTCATTTTAAATGCGTGTGTATGCACGTGTATGATCAATTTGAAGATAATTTGTTGTAATTTTTTGTTCTTTTTTTATTTTTTTTTTTTTGAAAATGGATACATACAACAAATTTGAATAATTCAATTCTTTCTTTTAATGGTTCTTTTTTTCTTTCTCTTTTTTTTTTTTGGTTTCCTCTCTTTTTCTTCGTTTAGTCTTAACGATTTCCATGTTTAGCACTGGAATATAAAGAACGGAAATTAAAGCGACGTAGAAAACGAAAGGCAAAGATTTATATTACTCTACGTGGAAGAACGAATTTCGGAAGGAGAGAGACGAGAGTTAGTTTTATGGCATGCGTTACATTAGTTGAAACATTCATTTCCCACGACGAGAAGAAGATATCGTCGAAAGAGTGAAGTTTGTTTAATGAGGATGTACCGTACCTACCCTCCCTGTGTCTCGAACATACCATGTTTCAAAAATTATATCTAATCTTATAAACCATACACTTATTTGCATACAAAACAAAAAAACCGAAAGTCAAATGGGTATCGTAACGAATAACGAAATAAAACTTGAAGAATTTTCGATAGCCAAACTTTTAATAAAAACGACAAATAACAATTTATCGTTAGATTGAAAAGCCTCGAGATGTACGTAATGATAATAATAATAATAATAATAATAATAATAATAATAACAATTAGCGTGATAAGGCCCGATAAAGACCACCATGCTTGACTATTCTCAAGAGTTAAACTTTCGAGAGACGTAAAACTGCTATCGCATTTCCGACGTCAAAGATATATATGGGATAGTTGGTATATAAAGATGAACACAAACAGAAAAATAGAATGAAATGAAATATATGATAAATGTTAACATCTTTTTTTTATTTTACATTAAACAGAGAGACCAAGAGAGAAGATATACATTTTTATCTTCCTTTTCTTTTTTTTTTTTTTTCTTTTACCTCATTTACAATCTAATTCCGCAGGTGACAAGAAGAGGGAACGAGCTTCCGGTCCACCTTATATTTACAGAGCTAAGCAAAGCTTCTGCCTCTGTTCAACTTCCTTTTCCTTCAAGGATTTCTTTTTTTCGTGTTACTTTTCTATATCGTGAAAAGAATAATATGATTAGAATGTAATGGAAAAAGTTTTGTTAGAAATCATTTTGAAATGTGTTTACGTTTCATGGAAATATCTTTGATTAAATTCGTTTGTGATCTTCTTTATTCGCCTGTAGATAGGCAACACTTTTTACATTATCGGTAATTGCAATAGCGAGCGCCACCTATCGGTCAAACAAATTGGGAAGCCCCTTTGCAGTATAAAAGTGGTAGAAAATGTTATTATCTTACCGACAGTCGATACATCAACCATAATCATCAACAAATATAGAATGATGCCTGTTTCCAGGCGTCATATCTGCACGAATAATCATGAATAAAGATTTTTTATCATTTTTTGTAACAAATCAAAAAAAAATAATATCATTGTTGTTTAGGATACGACTGGACGTTACTTCCAGTTACTTCCCGAGCTGGAAATCGAAGAAACGCTCACGTGAAACGACCGATGAACGCGTTTATGGTTTGGGCACAAGCAGCAAGACGAAGATTAGCCGATCAGTATCCTCAATTACATAATGCTGAGTTATCGAAAACATTAGGAAAATTGTGGAGGTAATTATTTTCAAGATAAATGATTATTAATTAAAAACAACAAGAGTTATTATTTATTTGTATAGAATTTTAAGCGACGGTGAGAAGCAACCGTTCATCGAAGAAGCCGAAAGACTTAGAAATGCCCACAAAAAACAGCATCCACATTACAAGGTACTTAAACTAATATCAAATTAATTTTAATTACAAATTTATAATGAATTTTTGTAAAATAATCAAATAAATATTTATTCCAGTATCAACCACGACGTAGAAAACCAAAATCGGAAGATCAAGTATTCGGTAATCGGGATTCGATGCATCGTGGATTAGCATCAACCATAACACCGTTAGAAACAGGTCCAGTTTCTTCAGATTGTAGTTACTCTCGTCTTTACCCCGATACCGAAGCTAAGATTTACGAAAGACCAACTTATCAAGATACCAAAAATACTTACGATTTATCGAGAGCGTCCTGGAGTATAAACGAAACGATTAAATATCCAATGGATCATCATCCCACCAATAAGACTTCTTCCTTAGATTCGACAAACAAATACGACGTTAACATGAAAAATTATACCGAAATGAAGTGTCATGAAACAATGAAGTATCATCAAGTTTCTCCAACCAAATGTCACGATATTGCAACAAGCAAATATCACACGGAATCGATTCCAAAATATTCTGAATCGCAAATAAGTAAACCCTACGATTTACCGAAGTATCCTGACGCTAAAAGTTACACAGAAAGTTTGAAATATCAAAGTGACATGATGACCACCAATGGTAAATCTTACGCTTGCATACACGGACAATATTATCCAACGCCGGAAGCGTACACGATGCAAGAAGAAAATGATTATCAAACTCAAACGATGCCCGCGCATACTTTTTATCCTTACATATCAGCGACCATGTCTCAGGCTCCTTATTACATGGGTCCACGATAGATATATTAGGAATTGGAGCCATTTTTTGTTATTTTCTTCTTGGTCGAAACCAAAGTATTAGGTGTACCAATTAATTAAGTATCTTGATATAATATTTAATTAATTTCACCAAAATAACCATCTTTTTTCGTCAAGATATTCGACAATTGCTTAAAAGATGGACCAAAATCATCCGAAAATAATAAATATGATTACTTTATAAACAAATACTAAATTTATTTAAAAGGCACTGAATTAATTGTTACATCTAATAAAAACTATAGGTTTCTGAGAATTTTTCTCTATAATCTCCATTAAAATCCCATGAAAAAAAGAACAAAAAGTAAACTACAAGAAGAAGAAGAAGAAACAGGTGATGTGTTTTATGTGATTGCAAAATTAATTAATTAATATTAGAAATTTGATGATAGGAGACACTCATGTATGTCCACGCTAATATATAGCCTTGATAATCCAAGGTTTCTTTTTACGATCGTTAGATTTATTATTAGAATATTGATTTTATCATGATTTACTATAATGAAAGATAATTATTTTGCCTCTTTTGTTTGTTTTTTTTTGATAATATTCTTTACATCGAGATCGACAATTATTCGTTTTATGTGTTCGTTCTAGTCCTTCAATTTTTATTTTTTATTTTTTGGGAACCTTCGGATCATCGAGACAACTAAATTATTATAATTATTATTATTATAATTATTATTATTATTATTATTATTATTATTATTATTATTATTATATTTTTTGTTAAATATATTCTATATATTTTTTCCGCAAAGATTTCCAATAAAATATGCGAATCATAAATGTTATCTAAGTAATTCTATTACTTTTACAAGTTCCTGACAGGCGTTTACGAATCTTTCAAAATTACCATAATGAGAATACAAAAAAAAGAAGTATTACTATAAAAATTAAACTATTCGTATAAAAAATGAGAAAGATGAAAGAAATAAAAATTACAATTTATCCTGTTAAATCGTTGTATCGCGCAAACAAGTAATTATGCGTTAAAAAAAATTCAACAAAAGATATATGAAGTTTTGAAAAAAACAAATATTAAGAAAACTCAATCTACTTACAATTAAAACAAACTACTACATATGTCAAAAATCGTAAATGTCGTAAATCTTAATTGTACCTGATTATTGAATGGAACTTATTATTCAAAATAAACTATGTCAAATGGATCAGGTATCTAATGTGTGCAACTGACGCAAGAAAAATAGATTCTCTGAATAAATGAATATCAGTAATATCACCGCACGTGTGTGTGTATATATATATATATATATACTATAATAGTTGATCAAAAGATTGGCCGATAAGTCAGCGTGATTTGTTCTAAGTAAATAACAGGACAAAAACCATACAGACTTATTAACCAATCTAATATCTACAACACCAAAAAGCGGCTTCGAGAATTAAATATATATATGACACACATACTACACGTCTTGATTTATCACAGCAGCTAATTCCTGAACTTGATTTCTATTGGCATGCATAAAAGCTTTAGTAGTCCATATCATTTCCGCCAGTACTTCATCTTTCTTTTCATCCATGGCTACTTCCGAGGTCAATTGTGGGCTAAATCTGTAATATGGTACGCCTATCATAGAACACCAAGTTCTAGCACGATCTACAACTCTTCCATCGCTAGCTGTTGCTTGGTCGACTAACAAAGATCCTAAAGTATTAATACCCATGGCAACTTTAGCTGTATCCCAAAGACCTTCTGGTCTAAATACATCTATTGCGGTTAATGGTTCGACAGGTATTAATCCAGTACCTAAGGAAACTACCAACGAGAGTGGTACAACTTCGGATTCGCGTCTAACAGCTTTTAATGCTAAATTATATTCGTGAATTTCGGTTATTGCATCCAATGTTGGATTATTAGCTATAAGACCGCCGTCTAAAAATCTTCCAAAAGCTCTGAAATAAGAAGGTGCTGCTCCTGTGGCACGTGCAGCTTTCCAAAGTAATTGTTCTGCGGGCGATAACGTTTCTTTGAATTGAGTATTTATCGGAACATCTAATAATTCGCTCGGTGACTCATAATTACGGAAAAGATGTAGATCTACTGGTTTGCGATCGGCTAATACACCTGTTATCATTAATTTAGGCTTTTCTATATCGGCCATTACCGTTTCCGGACCTAAACAATCTTTTAATATATTTTCTAAACCTTCGCTATTGTATGGTCTAAAACCAACAAAAGCATCCTCCTTAATACGGAAATACAAAGCTTGACATTCTCTCAATGATTTTCCTGATGCCAAGCCAAGTGCTAGGATTCCACCAGTTGATGTACCAGCAACCCAATCGAAACATTCTATTACTGGTTTCTTCAAGATCGATTCAATTTCCAACAACATTTGAATCAATACCAATCCTCGAATTCCACCACCGTCGAGACATAACAATCTTCCACCTTTTATCTTTTTTTTTCCAAACAATGCCATTGTTTCCATACCAGATACATGTAACATTTGATCCAAGGTAGTACGTGGGACAGATCTTTGTAATTCGGTCGGTATAATACCATTGTAATTTTCATTGTATTTACAGCTACCTTTACAATCCTTCATATTAGGTGGACAACGTTGGGCACCAACAGCGTGCAAGATGTAAAGTATTTTTTCGTTGTTGGAATTAAGATTAACCAAATGTCTTGGTGTCTCGGAATTCCAATTTTCTGCATCTATGTCAGCTCCAAAGCCAATAAGAATTTGAACCAAAGCTATGCTACCTGATTTTACTGCCAGATGCAATGGGGTATTACCATCCTGATCAACTTTATTAACAGAAGCCATGTGACTCAACAGAGCCACTACGCAATCCAAACGTTTTCTTACGACCATAACATGTAAAGCTGTACGTCCTTGGAAATTAACAGCATCTATATCCACGTTGTGTTCAATCAAAGCATTTATAACTGGTCTACTATGAGACCAATGCAAAGGCGTACCACCAAATCTCATGTCTTCCGAATAAAGTACATTAGGTTTATTGTGTAAGAAGTCTCCTACGTATCCTGGATTAGAAGATTGTCCATCTAATGGTGGAATATTAACATCAGCTCCAATTAACAAGAGAGCTTTTACGCATTCTGGCTCATCGTTCATACAAGCAATATGTAATGGCGTATAACCATCGTCGTTTCGACTATTTAAACTATTTGGTAAGCCTTTAATGGTTAAAATAATATCTTTAGTTGAAGTAGCTGCAAAATGATAAACCGTGTTCCCACGTTTATCTGTATGTTCCAACGAACTATTAGCAGCTTTGAGCATTTGTACAGTATATAAATTTTTAGTCTGTACTGCTACCTGCAACGGCGATATTCCAGTTTCTAAACAGCTGCTATTCAATTGACTATTTACCACCGTATTTTTAAACGCCTCGTGAAGAGCAAAATGAGCTGCTAGATGCGCTAATGTCCACGTTGGATGTTCTACTAAGGTGTCGCATAATTTTTGTATCTTGCTCACACTGGAGATCTTTTAAAAAGAAAATTATTTCATATGGTTTGTAAATTTTTTAAGTGGAATAAAAATAGTAACCAATTTTCTATATAAATATTATAATAATAGTAATAGTAATAATAAAAATAAATAAAATATAACATAATGGATGGCAATATTTTATAGCGAAATAAATAATAATTCCTTCCACTATAACAATATTAACAGACATTAAAATCATATAACAGACTTGTGATAAACTTTATAGTCGAAACATAAGAAGCACAAAGAGTGTCACTGATTTTAGCACACAACTTAAATGCATTAAATCATAGTGCATTCAATTAATAATCTATAAATAAAATAAAAAAACAAAGAAAGAAAGAAATGGAAATAAAACTGTTAACATAATTTACTAATAATAAAATTTGAAATATCAAAAACAAAAATACAATAATAATAGTAGTAATAATCATAATACGTGGGTGAATTCAAAAATTTTGAATGAAAAGATATCTGTAGGTATACTCTCGATCAAACTCTTTCATATTTTATTTTTTAAATAAATATTCTTTTTTTATTGTTGAGGCTCAAAACTTTTCAACCCACCCTTGTAAATCTAATAATAAATACCTCGCGTGATATTTGAACCAAAACAGGAACTTTATCTTTGAATATCAAGAAACGCATTTCGCTGTCTTCCACTTCATCCGATCGATACAAGCTATAAAAATACAGGAATATTAAAATAGTGAAAGATAAAAATATAAACTAAAAGTAAAATGATCATAATAAAAATAATAATGGATAATAATATACCTGTAAGCTTGATCCAAGGTTTCCGTGCAGGGTCTATGAAGGATAATCTCATATTTAGGGGTAGCGTCCTTTTCCCCAGGTCCATACAGGACGATACCATCCTCTCGACAAAGAATAAGCCGATTACTATACTGATCCGGTTTGACAGTTAAAACTATATTAGGTGGAGGTGCCGTAAAAACAATGTTTCGCAGGACGTTATTAGCGATCGTACCAAGCCACGTCATGATAATATGCTTCTTTAAACTTAATTGATCTCAGTATCGAGATCCGTTGAACTTTTATATCATCGGTTCGACTATCAATTTTTAATTATTACGCAAATAACATCGATTGCATCAGAAAGATGAAAAACTACAAGGTGAATTATCGATAGTATCTTGACAATTGGTTCGACTAACCTAACAAAAATGAAAATCGTTTGACAACGTCACGCACATAACAGCTGATACATTGGATATCAGTAATGCCAACATTTTCTAACTAAAATGCAAAATTATAAACAGGCTTTATGAATCTAATTTTTAACACTTTTTCTATCGGATTTGAGTAATCTTACAACGCGTCTATTGGTTGTTACGAATTATTTTAAATATTACTAGTGACAAGTTGGTGGCTAGTTTTAATCGTCTCTAGTACCATCTAGTAAGAATCGAAAAGTGGAAGCGCTACTATCGTCAAGGCTATTAAAATAAGAATAAGAGGAAGAAGAAGAAGAAGCGAAGAGGAGTATTCGTCACTGGTTTTTCGGTAAAGGAATACATGCATACACGAAGTCGGTTTAGAAGAAGACGAAGTTTTGTTTAATTGTTCGTTAACGATATTGTCATCTAAAGAAAGATGACAGGTTTTACAGAAAGTGCTCTTGTTAAGAGACTTATGGATTTAAATCCATCACAACAAAGCATCCAAACACTTTCTCTCTGGTTAATACATCACAGAAAACATCATCCTACGATCGTAAAAGTCTGGTTCAGAGAGATGTGCAAAGGTATGTTACCGTTAGGTTTTCTCTTTTCCCTCCTTCCTCCCTGCCACCTCTGTTAGTTACAAATACAATGCGTTTGATTGCAACCAAATATAACATAAATACATTGTTTAAACAAATAATAAATATTCGTCGAATGGTTTCAACGACTGATCCTACTCGATCAATTATTTTTAGGTTAGAAAATAAAATGCTCTTTTTTGTCTTTTTTTTTTTACAACGCCGTCAATTAATTTTGTTTAAACATTCTTTTTGTTTTAACGTTATTTGTAATTTTTTTCTTATTTTTGTTTCGATTATCAGGTATATAATTGGTCTCGTATAATTGTAGAAAATCAATTATATGTGTTAAGATTTGTGATAAATCATATTATTTATTTTTTTAGATCGACAGAATATTTTGTAAAATACGTACATTTATTACGTCGTTTAAAATGATTTTACTTTTAATTCGAAAAATATTTTACTATTTAATTGTAATATAATAATGGTAACGTTTTATTGTATATAAAAATATAAATAAAATTGTAAACAAAAAGTATTGACTCTCCTAATAGTATTTCTCTTTCTTAGAAGAATTTTCATTTGGTATCCTAAAATATTGAAAAAACTTCTACATCTTTCCAGTGAAGGACAATCGTAAGTTAATGTTTATGTATTTGGCAAATGATGTTATCCAGAATAGTAAAAAGAAAGGTCCTGAATTTGGCAAAGAATTTGAAACAGTATTGCCCAAAGCGTTTGAACATATGAAAGGATTCGACGAAAAAACCAGGGAAAGATTAAATAGGCTGTTACAAATATGGGAAGAGAGAGGTGTTTATGATAAAGGGCAAATAGCAGAATTTAAAACGGCTTTCTTAGACACCGTCAAAGAACCAGGAACTCCACCGCCCAAAAAGAAAGCAAAAATTGAGGTAGAAAAGGTAACAAATTCATTGATTTATTTTCTATCATTGTAGAAATTATTTATCAATTTAAATATTACATTAATTTTTGTTACATTTTTTTCAGAAGGAAAAAAAGGAGAGGAAAAAATCCGAGACTGAAGTGGAAGTAGACGGTACCAAAGAACTTCACGTAACCTTAAGTCCGCGTACGCCGGCCGGTGATCCGCCAGAGACGGAGGAACTAATCAAAGCTTTAATGGTTAATGTTAATTTTCAAAAAAGAAATAATAATCGTGCGGACTATGTATCACAGCTAATAAACTATTATATTCATGGAAAAATACATGTTGAGTCCATAAGATACATTAAATGCATGCATTCATTTTCATATTCTCTCTTAATGTGATACTCTTATTCACATTATTAAATACATCCAAAATCCAATGACAAATAATTGTACGAGTTCCTGGATATATAATTTACCTATTTTTTTTCTTTCTAATCATTTCTTTATTGTCCCTTTAAAAACTTTATATTTCGATATAGAGAAATAATTTATATTCTATTATGTACAAAATGACAATTTCATTTGCTTGATCATGAATATAAAACATGTGTGAATATCTTATTTACGTATATTTATATATATTTTTTTACATATGTATATCTACACAAAAATTGATAATTTTAGTTGAATATAATTTATATTACGTGGATACTTCCAAAAGTAAATACTCGGAAGGCAAATATACTAATAAAAGGCCTTCTATATTTCAGGATTTAGAAAATACAGCATCGTCTGATGCTGGCGTAAGAGAACGTATTGCATCCTTACCACCAGAAGTATCAGAAGTATCGCTTCTGGCAAATCTCGCTGATAGATCGGCGGCTGATCAATTAAGCGTAGCAGTTAATGAAGCAGCAGCATTATTAGCTGATTATAACGGAAGATTGCAAGCTGAAATGGAAGATAGAAGAAGATTGTTAACTATGCTTAGAGATTACACATTAGCACAAAGACAATTACTTCAACAGGCACAAACAACGCTAGAGGTATGGTATCTCGTTTAATTATAAATATTAATATTAAAATCAATAATATTTGTGAAGAAAAAGAAACATTCTTAATGTATCTGATTTGTTTTGTAGGATTATAAAGAAAAATTAAAAAAAGTTTGTGCTGTTAGATCCGAAGTGAAATCCCATATTTCTAATTTACCAGATTTGACGCAATTACCGGACGTAACAGGAGGCCTTGCTCCACTTCCTTCAGCTGGTGACTTATTTTCTATGCATTAGTCTAATATTTGATGAAGCATGACCATGTAAGAACTTTTTTTGATTATCATTTGATGAGTTTTATACGGTACAAATGTATAATCATTTTATGCTGGGCTTCGTCGATTGTGATAGAAAGAGGAATCGTATATAACTTTATTTTCCAAAAAATATTACACAAACAAAATAATATTATTAATAGTAATTACCGCGATCATTATTCTCCTATATAAATCTGAGATATAAAAAGAAAGCTACTGATAATGATTCATTGATAAGAAAAAAAAGACCAAAAAAAGAAAAAATTTATAAATTAGATACTACAAACTTTACACTTTCGATGAATTGTTAATATCAAATAATGCACGTGAACAGAAACAATGAAACTTGAAACGATAATTTTATTACTGCATTAAAAAGTATTGGTTGTTAAAGAAAACTGTTACACTGTGGTTCTCGCTTCAATTATTTTCTTTTGGTAATGGATTGATGACTTTTCTCATTATAAATTTCATTTATGTATAAAGATTATTTATAGTGATCGGACAAATTTTCTAAATTAATTTATTACGAGATACAATTATATTATATCTATCTTTTATTTTAATTTGTATATATATACAGGATGAGTTAAGGAACATGACGTTTCAAAATAACTTGTAAAATATACAATATCAGGTGCCTACGATCATGTCTACCAATATTATTATATCATCATAAACAAATTTGTCCTCGATTACAGACCTGTTGAATTAACAATAATATGCCGAATAACTTATTTGTGAACATCTTAGTAATTATTCATTTTAGGCTCTACATAGTATCATAGTTTTTTATGCAGAATTTGATGCTTTATCAGAATCCAGAAAAAATTAGGCATTCCATTTAAAAAAATAACGATGACTTTGACATCTCATTAAGAAAGTACCTTAAAAAAAAGTTTTATTTACTATTACATTTGCCTCCTAATTTAGTTTAACTGTGCAGGAAACATTTTTTCATACAATTTATATTTTACAAGTTATTTTGAAACTTCACGTTCCGTGACTCACCCTGTATATGAATCTACTATATATATAAATGTACAAAGTATTTTTTTTTCGTTTGTTTGTAAGGAATATGAAACTTCTCTTTGCAAAAAAAATACAAAGTTCTTCCAACACCATTCACTTCGTATTAAATCCGCTTGTATGTACAAAATATTTTGTGACATCGACTTCTTCAAGATATGCTGGATTGCTATAAATTTTCTTACTACTTATATAAAATTACAAAAACAAAAAAAGAAATAAAAGAAAAGTTTATTTATTACAAATAAGCACTTGTAGATACATATAATTGTCTTTAAAAATAAATTGTTCAACCATTAAGATATATTTGAAACACACTTTTATTTTATATTACAAAACAATTCTGGTTTCTCATTATCTTTCTCGCTCTTTTTCTCTCTCTTGTATAATAAAACACGAATTTATTTGATTAATCAAGATCAAAATAAAGGAATCAATATAGATTTATATACGAGTATATAAAACGGATTAAATTATGTTGTACTATAATAATATAAAGAATGAATTTAAAGTGACACAAAATTTTCAATCATTGACACACTATGTTTATGCTTGTACAATACATTCTGATTTATATAAATTATATAAATAGGATTATTTTCAATGGTATTTTTCATATTCTGTTGAAATTCTCAATGACTCAATACTATCCAATAAAATAGTATTGTTTCATTAATGTTACAGTGTAACATGTAATATTATTTTAAGAAACAACAAATTGCATGATTGTGTAACGCGAAGACTGTAATAATTATCAAGAAAAATTAATTATGAATAAATGTTTTGAACGTTATCGCTTGTTGAGTTGATTAATAGTCAAATTCATAAAGTTTTACATATACCATTGTATAATATCTCTTAGGAATTAAAATTGAGGAGTATAATAAGAAAAATATTCAATACAAATAGATAGATATTTGTAGATAGTAGTTTTATTTTTCCATATTTGTAACTTTAGATTTTTGTATAAATTATAGAATATATATATGGGCTTGTTTAAAAGAAAGTTTCGTCCGATTAAATATTTTAATAACTATTACAATTTTTTGATAACATAAAGGAATATATATATATATATATATAAAATATTATACGTATATATCAATTATAATGATTAATTCATTTTTCACTTTTTAAATGATTTAATAGTTAATAAAAGTAATGACGACGTCGCGGTAAACAAACCCATTAATTCTTAACTAAAATATGGAAGTATACAAAGACTATTATATACATATGCGTTTAGAATATTAATTTTAAGTAAAATTGTCTTCATATTAAAGTTACACGAGGAAGTAGAATACGTCGATATATATAAGTGATAATCAATAGATATTTTCTTTTCAAGATTGTTCACAATAAAAATTAGATGCTTATTTATCTAACGCTAAAAATTTTTTAAATGTTACACATATATATACAATATGTACAAACAAAAATAATTACAGTCAATCGTGTTTTTAGTTATGATCTCGCAGATAATTATCGTATAGACAGAGCTAATATCAGCTAACACAAAATTCACTAAAACTTAATAAATACGATCAAGACATCGTCGTCGGTGTAAAAATTTTTCTGTTTAAAAATCAACAAAAATAACTTAGTATTAAAAATTATCGACAATTTAATATTTAAATCTTGATACAAAGAATTTATGAAACGGTAAATTTCTTTGGAACGTTCAGAACGAATGTATGCGTGGACTTAGAAAATAGATATATTCTTTTTCTCCAATTATAGTAGCAAAAATATATGCTTTTTCTGGTTTTTAGATTATTCGTCGAGCGATCTATTATTTTATAAATATTATGTAATGAAAAAAGGTATTTTGACGTAAAAATGGTATCAAATATAACATTTGATCATATGCATTATGCATGATCCAACGTATACAAATTCTCGAATTGTTTAATTTTGTACTATACCTCTGCTTTATATTATGCGGAAGGAACAAAACATTGAATGAATCATAAATAATATACTCATTGTTATATAAAAATATCTTCGATATACATATACATTCCTTTTTGGACACCCTATGTAGCAATCCAGGCATTTGCAAAGATCTTACAGCTTAATATATACACAACATATATGTACATCGTCTTTTTTAAGTTTCATGTGGATGCGCAGGTCTTTTAGGTTTAAGAATAAGCTTTCCAGTATCATCACAACTCATATTAAAATCACCTAATACGCTTCTCGCTCTTTGTGTAATGATACTCGGTGCTATTACACGTCTATGTACTCCCATCATGAATAATATTACTAAAATTTGAAACAAAATGTTAGAATAATATCGACGTAACATATTCAATTTGTTTTCTTACCTAATATGATACTAGCAGTCGTAAAGAATGGATGATTATAAAGACTTTGAGTAAAAGATACCGCTGATGTATTTGGATCTGCTAACCAATGCCAAGCACCAACAGCAGTGCAAACAGAGATAAAACCTAATAACACTGTAATCACATGAATGATCCTTATTATTTAACAATGGTTGATTAACACATTTGTTACATATGTAAATATTTTGCATAAAATTATATAAAAAAATAAAATCATTTGTACATAGCAAAAATAATGAAACGAAAACATACTCCTCCATCGTAGAGTTGCCGGTTGTAAACTTGCGATAACCTCAGTGAGGCGTCTCTCAAACGCCTTTAAATCTAAAAATTAATAGTCTATGAAACGTAGTTTTCATTATTCTAATTAATCGCCCATGATTTAATCTATTTTCTAAATTTATCATTAAATGTTTTATTTTACTTAACTATTAAAGTTAATTTATTTATATTTACCTTCGCACACAGTTTGATCTAAAGACATTTCAGCTTAAAAGTGCAACACAATATACATTTGATCGTCGGATATACAGGGATACCAACAAATACAGTTTTGTAAACTTAATAAATAAAAATTTACCAAAAATTACTGAAATATTAATGATTTTATTAAAACGTTTTTGTTTTTTCTTCTCTTGTTTGTTCAAATTAGAAATAAAGCTACGTATACATTTGCGCAAAAGTTAATATTTAATTGAACAATATTAATTATATAATCGATATATGTAAGTAATACAAGAAAATCTAATTTCATTCAATCAAATTTTCATCAAATTCATTTAAATTAAATATATTTTGATTTTGATAAACAAAAAGTTATGAATTAATTGTACATATTGTATATACCAGTGCATTCGATCAAAGCGACATCTAAATTAATTCGTGGAACTATTCAATATGAATTTAAATGAAACATGTAGCGGAAGATTTAAAAATGGCTCCCGAATCTGAGGTTATGTTTTCACATGAGACTGATATAATTGAACAATCAAAGAAAGAAGTGACAACATTAACCAAGAATATCGAGAAAGAAAAAGAGAAATTTTACGGTACGTTTAAGTCACTATTATTTATTTCAATTAATTTCTAACTATATATATGTAAATAAAATCTTATACAATCATGATCTTGCTAAATTATTTAAAATCATTGTTGATTTTGTCGTTGTAATCGATAAGACTTGTATTTAATTCTTTGAAACTTTATTAATATAAATACTTATCTAAATAATGTTTATTATGTTACAAGTACAGCTGCAATTTTCTTAAGCAGTGTCACCGGTTTGTCTGCACTTATCGGTTTTGGTACAACACTAGCCTCAGCGAGAAAAAAAGATCCAAAATACTTCAACGAAGGATTAAGTGGATCTAGAAGACTACATGAAACTGGAGTTTCCTTGGCATTCAGAGCACTTAGTTGGGGTACATTTTATGCGGTAACAGGATGTGGTCTTTTATTTTATGGTATATGGAAGTTGTCGGGTGCAAACAATGCTAAAGAATTTAGATACAAAATGGGATCAATTTTGCCTAAGATTCCTAAAAATGATCCGCCACAAAGTAGAACAGAATTCGAAGGCTTGACTGATCTTCTTACATATATTGCAGAAGATTGGGGTAAAAAGAAGGTGTGAAAATAATTAAAATATACAAAATGTATATTCAAAATGTTAAAAAATTAATTTATATAATAATAATTACTAATTATTTATTTATTTTATTTATAGGACTGAGAGATACTCTATGTTCATTTAACAAATTGAATTTGTAATGGTAGAAAAATATTGTACAAAGTGATATAATATATAGAAAAGACTATACCTAAACTCTACTAACTATAGCTAACTAACTGAAAGTTAACAGTACGATAAATCAACAATTGCAATAAATTTTTTTTTATTAAAGTTTTAATTTATATATTTAAAAAATGAAATAATCATTAAGAAACGGAAATAAAATGAACGAAGAAGCGTATTTTTATATAATTTTATGAAAACAAATGTTAAATTTTATCAAAATGTTAAATCTTATCAAAATGATACATTAACAAAATTGTACTATTTACGTATAATGTGCATTGATTAATAAGCGATCATTTAGAATAGCTAATACACAGAAAAAGCATTCAGTAATTTTTAAATGGGTCATATGTGCAGTGACCTCACATTCATATGTCGATAATATTGTCACTTCATGCTAGTGCTGGAATTTTTCTAATTAACATTTACCTTGATTTTATAAATTCTATGTATAAATATTTCTCTTTATTTCTCGTTAAAATATAATTTCAAGTATATACACACGGTTAATTTTTATTTATTTTTTCTTTCCTAAAACGTAACTACATATAAGATTAGTCAACATTTCTTAGGTTCGTAATTTCAGCATAAAAAAAAAAATTATTAAGAACCCACATTTTTATGATACTCTTCTATCGAAAAATATTAAAATATGTTTAATTTACTTAAATAAAAAGAAATAAATTAGACTTCCACACATACACACACACACACACACACACAAAGAGGTTAGTGAGAAAAATTATAATTAATAATTAAAATCACCTATGAACCATCCTATAGTTCAGGGCTTTCCAAACTTTTCCATTCGACCTCATTTTACTTGAGTAAATATTTTCACGACCCTGAGTATTGGACTGACTATATTATCTTTTCTTTCATTATTATACACTCGCGGACATACTACAGTATTGGCAAACTAATTTTGAATTAATTTTCGGTCATTGGACGTACAAAAAAATTGTTAATTTTTCGAAAATTTCTACAACTCCTAAATTTATTTAGTTGATCTCATATGGGGTCGCGACCCACTTTGAGAAATCATGGTATAGTTTGTCGTGTACTGAATAGTTATTCGTATACGTACGTAAAAATTCAAGTCCAAGAACTCTAAGGTCGATCAATCCAACAAACTTAGGCACGTATACATATATACATATATATACTCTTTTAGTTTCTCTTTGGTGTGTTAACGTGGGTGTTAACGTTCATGAATGGCTTCGATAGTGACTACAAGTAGACGATGCGATTAACTACACTAAACGCATTACAACGACGCATCGGCTCAGACGGATCACAATAAACGGTCTAACTTATTTTATTTCCTAATGCCTAATGTATGTATGGATGTATGTGTGTGTATATATATATAATAAGTTTCAATAGTTTAGTAGTCAATGAACATATACTATCAAATTTATTTCTTAGTATTTAAAACGTTTCAAGAACATTAATATTCTTCGAAATGCAACAAATTTCTTGACGATTTGTTCTCCAAGAAACTGTTTTATCATTATTCGGAATAAAAATTTGAAAAATGTACAATGTCTATATGACCTTTATGAAAATGATTAAATATATTTTATCTAATCATTTTAATTTATTTCTTTTTATTCTTTATCTTTTTTCTTTTCGTTGCATTAGACATAACAATATTTTTTTTTTCTCTTCATTACATTATAAATAAAATATGACAACGTAAAACGTGTTAAAAAAATTAGACAGACTCGTTTGCAAGCCACATGAGCTTAAAAAAATTATTATAAAAAACATAAAATATCGACTATTCTTATTATATGTCTGTTATCATTTTTAATATCACATTTTTCTAATAAATTTATTTACATTATTATATACGTTTTATTATAAATTTTCAATAAAAGGTATTAAATACTTCCTGCATTATTTTGTAATCTAAAAGATGACTCGCGTAAATAACAGGAAGTAGATGCGTGTTATGAAGTTTTTATTTTATTTTTTATATCTCTTGGCCTACGTGTAATGGTGCTAATAATTATAATAATCATCAAAGTTAAAAAATTATACAAATTTATTTTATTAATTTCATAGCGTTTAGTCTATTGTCATCATTACTGACATAATTTTTATCTTTTACTTTAACGATTTTTTTCTTTCTTAAGTTACGTTACTTAAAACATAATAATTATCAATTTTAAAACAAATACTACATTATTCAAAAGAAAATATTCGACAATTCGAAAATGGTAAATAATAAATATTTATTATTTTTTACATATTGTAAATACTATTTTATTTTATAAATCAGCCATTGTTTTTATTCGTTTCCTTCATTCATATTTATTTTTCTTACCTAATTAAATCTTATATTGATCGAGTGGATAATTTTAAAGCGAATAAATAAAAATGAAATAAAAATAATGATTTTTTATTAATTATAATTCACGATAATATTGAATAAATTTGTAATAACTGAATTTATTTATCCTATAATACGATACTAACTTAAATCATGTTAGGCATTAGACTTCCTAATATTTTCAATTTAAAATACTTTTATTTATAAATACGTAGGTTGAAAAGTTTTGAACCTTACATAGAAGCAATGTTTTCAACCCATCCTAGTATATGCGTATAATATAAAGTACGTCCCAATTGTTTCTTTTCCGTAACATTTTAACCGTCATATTCTATAGGGAAAAATAAGGATAAATAATAAAAAAAAATATCTATAAATATAAAAATGCATTATTAAAAAGTTTTAACAAAAATACGAAATAACAACGACGACAACAAACTTGTTCGATACAATATAAGAATAGTTCGAATTATAATTTTATTTTAAAATATATCTCGTTATTATAAATGTAAGACTGACATCTACGAATAAAATTTATTGCGTATCTAATTTTTTCTACATATATTTTTTAATCGCAGCAACACGTCACGAATTATTTATATCCATTCCTGACTTTATGTTCAATCAAATTTTTCTTTTATTGGTCCCCACAAGTAAAAATCTAGTAGCATGATATCCAATGATCTTGAAGAACCAAAAATCGATTATTCTCGACCTGTCCATTATTTAACCATTCCCATAACTGATACCGTATAATGTACTCAGCAACTATCTTATTAGATTCATAAATGTTGACGAAATAATAATGGAATATCACCAACCAATTTTATTTGTAATTCATTTATAAGAAATCTAAGAAAGACTGTGCAGGTATTTATTCACGTCAAAATTAAAATTAGATTATGTTATCATCGTCGCGTATTCAAATAGAATCGACAATGTATCCTAATACTGTTTAGTAACGAAACACTTGTCTGTTTTCGTATTTTTGTTACATTTTGTTAATAAAGCATTTAAGATTCCACGTTCGTATAACATTTTTTCTTAATTTTACTTACAGAATATGATCGTAAGATTGTGCACAAAAATATTGGGAGACGTTTTATATAAAATTTTTTATTACCGTCATCATTTATATCTGTAGAGATTACTTTTTTTTTCCATTAAATTTTTTAAGAGCATGAAACATAAGATTGATCTTTGACTCTACAAATGATGCTATGACGTATGTGTTTATAATGGATGTCGTAAAGTAAACTCACGTAGAAGTCAAATGATATTAGCATGCTCTTTGAAATTATTCAAATAAATGTCTATCGATATATGATTTAAGAGGAAGAAAAATTAAAATTACTACAAAACGTGAGAATATTCAATATTTATATAGATATCTAAACAAATTCTGTACGTGACATTATCAAACGAATAATATCTTTTGTCGTATTTTTATTTACGTCATTCTCACGTTTATCTTTTGAATACTTCAACAAGATAATTTTTTTTAAATGACACATATATATTTATTTTAAATATAACCGACATTTGGACAAAGATAATCATTTGAATAATATATATTTGCAAGTATTTAAAAAATTTTAACGACTATTGCGTCATCACCGTCGACATGTCGAATTCGTCGAATTTTTTATATTTTTTAAATGTAGTAATTTTTTAAATAATAATTACTGCGATAAGAAAAAAAAATAATTAATAAAACTGGATTATGCGAGTTACTATATATCCTTTTAAAACTATTTTATTATTTTTATAATATTGTTGTACAATTAAAAAAAAAAAGTAACCGAAAAAAGAATCTTCGAAATTTTTGCTAAATTATCTATATTTGTTAAAACTTTAGTTATTAGACGCGATCGTAATAACTTTTATCTATCTGCGACATTTTTCAAATAAAAAAAACAGCTATAACGTTTCATTTCCTTCCCCCCTTATTTTGTACTAAAATAATAAATTATAAATAATTCATTGTCTGGCAAAGCAGATTTTTATAACCGACAAAGTGACAATTTGAATATTTTACATAACATTTGGATCAACTTACGTAGCAACCTATTTAATAACCTGAGAGAGAATATATAAATTTAATTTTAAATCGTAATAAATTAATCTTGTTGATTATTTATATACTTTATTTCCTATTCTTATTATTTCCCTTATATTTCTTTTCGCATTAAAGAAATTTGATTTGAATAAACGCGAGTTAATTGAACAGCCACATTGAATTTTCATGCGAATAATATTTTACATACAATTTTTTGTATGACTTTTATTCATAGTATTAGATAAAACTTATAAAAAAAAAAAAAATCCAATATAATCCAATATATCCAAAATAATCATAAATGCCAGCCTGTTTTTTTTATCTTCTTCAATCACGTAACTTTTTCAAACGTGAATCGAACGCTTACGTATTTTTAACTACTGACGTGACATAACTTCTTAATTTCAAATACCTGTTATTTTTCATTTGGAACGATTATGATTAAAATTCATTTACGAGTTACAACAAAAAATCTGCGATAATCGTTAACTATAATTAATTATTTTTGTGGTTTACGTAAACGAAAAAAATGATAATAATTAATCATTCGATTTTTTTTTTTATTATCTCATGCTTGGTTTTTTTTTTGTTTTTTTTTTCTTCACATTTACTCTCAACGAAGTCTTATTACAAATATTTTCATTTTTTTATTTGATTTCGTTTGATCGAGCTTATTGATTTTTCTTTTTTCGTACAGATGAGAAAATTAAGAAGAAGAAGAAGAAGAAGAAAAATCAGATGAAAAATGAAGGAAAGACGATTTTTTGTGTTTGTTTATATAAATGTCTTCTTCTTAGTTTACAAATGATTTGATCTTTTTTTTTTTTCTTAACAAACGTGCAACGTGTCTTATCACTCGGTGCATTTTTTCTTTCTTTCTCTCTCTCTCTCTCTCTCTCTCTCTCTCTCTCTCTCTCTCTCTCTCGTACTCTTTCGTTTTGCATTATATATGTACACTTATGATATATGTATGTATACATTAACACGTATGTGTATTTACACACATAGAAGAAAGTTCATCATAATTTTTTAAATCATCCGAGCTAATGGAAAACACCTAGCTCTTTTATTTTAAGAAAATTAAAAGAAAATACCAAATTGGAATACAAAAGAAAATGAAAAATTCGAACTTTCTGAAGCTTTCGATCATTACACACACATTTCTTATAATATCAATGTATTTATGTTACACACCATAGGAAA